CAGCACCACCGACTGTTTTATAAGGCTTGGCATATGGTAGCAAGCAGGGCAAACGAGGGCATCTGACCGTGTGGTCTGCCGTCGCGGGTTTCAAACACGCATGTGGCAGGTATATGCACATGAGAATTTGGAAGGCACTTGCAGAGCATAGCACGCCTCGACCGTGCAGCAGATAAACGTCAAAGCTCTACCACTACCATATGGGTCCAGTTCGCAGAGGCAGCGCAAGCAGGTCATTGAACCTTTCGCGGGGGGCGCAACAGCGCAAACCTCTCAGCTCAATGCTCTCCAACAGCGTGTCAGAGAGCATCATGAGATGTGCCGAGCGGGAGTGTACATCCAAGGATAATGAGTTCAAGCTCCGCGTGCACACGGGTTGCCATCTTACCAAGCCCCACGGTTAGCCGACGACATCCTTCTGCTTCCTGGGCTGCTCAACCACCCCGACGCACATGCTAAGCGGGCAAGGTTGGCTTAGGATCGCGCGGCAAATGAACCCCCGACGATCGAGATTTTGCCATCCTATCGCATCACGAATCACTTCGGAGGACAGCTGCAGCGTTTTGTGCCGCAAGCAACCAAAGTCGAATACGGTAATGAGAGCCATGGTTTTTACAGTCAGACCGACTCTGCCTCTTCCGCGGAACTACCACGCGAAGCTTGGGCACCAATGGTCGGTTTGGAAACCGACGCTAGCGAACGCAGCGGCGTATGCCTCCTCTGATAGCGCGAGTGCCGGTGTGCGCCTGCACACACACAGGTGCTCAAACGGCGTTGCAAGCACCCTACTCATATCAACAGGCGACGACCATAGATATGACGCGAAAAGTGTTCTGCTAGATCCCATGGCACCTACTTTCAGTGATGACGCAACAACATATGATTGTAATTCTGGGCAGGATGGATCAAGCAGGCAGATCCCAATGCAGAGGCGGCAATATCAAAGCTACAATCCAATGACCTGGGCGTCTGCAGTGCAGAATGGCAAGGGGGACGCACATGAAACGCCACCGGCGAAAAGGAACGGAAACGGCGGGTAATCCAATTGGCCCCACAACATGGCCAGGGCACAACACGAGAAGCAGGGCGGGACGCACCACGAATTGCCAGGCGGATCGGTGACTCGCGGCATTGCATCAACAAACGTAGGGGACGTGGCGAAACGGTTGTCACAATTGTCCAGAAAATTGCATCAACAGAGGTCTGGAAGACGCGCCGAGGCGAGAAAATCTCTGCGATCGTTCCCCATCCGCGCTCCCCACATGTCACTGGGGATGGAAAGTGTGTCGCGCAACAAAGAAGCCAATCGTGGCGTCGCCGTCGCCAGCATATTATGTTTTGGAGGATGTTCGCCGATGAACTCCAGCATCGTTTCGCGGCCAGGCCAGGCACTGGACATGTTGGGTGCCCGTCCCACGAGGCTCCATCAGCGCCGGCAGGACATCACCTCGACCGTGGACCTCCAGTTCAACGCAGCCGTTCAGCTTTCTCGCCGAGGACCGCCGGATGACGCAGAAGACCACCGAAGGCCTTCGAACGTTGTCTTCGCGCCCCTGTTTGCGGCTAGTTGGCTAACTTGTGAGGTTGGCTGGGCAGCGGAGGGGCCGCTCAGAACCCCGAGCCTCCTGCCGTTGTTTATGTAGCAACGGCCGCTCACAGCTGGTGTAAAAGCATGGCTGGCTATGACAATCGCGCGGCGTATGTGCCCTCGAAGAAGGCCTTGCTGGTAGCCATGTCTGCGAGAGGCTGCTTGAGGCTGCCGCACTTGTTGCCTCTTTCTCGCGGCTGGCGGAAGACGCGGTCATTGGCGGATAGATTGAAGTAGTCGAATTTGTGAGCCTCGCGCAGGAGTTCCTGGTGTCGGATCTTCTGCGAGCGCTCGGCAAGCTCGAGGTTGTCCTTCTGGACGCGCGCGGTGGCTTTGGCCAGGTTGACTGGGAACCACCCCGTGGTAGGGTCCAACGCGCCGAGCGCCCCCTCGGACCCGTTCAGGGCGGGCCTCTTCACTGGCGAACAAGTCGGACTCGTTGCCCGGGGTGGAGGTGGCCTGTCCGTGAGGGTTTGGAGTCCGTCGGGCTGTTGGCGTTGTCCTCCGTCTCCTTCTAGGCGTTGGCCTTTTGGCTGGCCCTGGTCTGTGGCCTCCTCGTGCTTGGTGCCCTCTTCGCGGTCCTTCTTAGACTCGGCGCCCTGGGTGTCCGACGCGGGGCCAGGTGGCGTATGCGCCGGCGGGGGCGATGGACACGGAGCAGCAGAAACGCTCGGCGCGATCGGTGGGAGTACAAGGCGTGGATGAAAGGTAGGCGCATATCTGTTCCATCACCAGCAAATTTTGTCTGCGGGCGGCGAACATGTGGTGAGTGGAGCTGGGTTTACAGAGTGTTTGTCGACTTCGACTTTGTCTTGACATGAGGCGTTGCACCAGTCGACGCAGCCTTCAACATCGGTAGAAATGCGGTAACTGCCAAATGAGCTGCCTACTCGTGTGGGGAAAAAGCTATGCTGTTAAGAGCTTCAGTATGCGAGCGTGCGCGAGAGCAAGAAGCAATTGAGCATTCCGTGGTGAGAACTCTAGGGGCTCGAAGCTGCGTAAGAGCTGGCTTCGGCGTGCGATCTCGCTCGTTGCGCGGCGTGCCTCTCCCGTGAACGTTGGCGAGTCTAGCCTGTCGCCCGCCGCGTGGCCCCCCGCCCCTGCGTCGAGGGTCGGGCGGGGGGGCCGCGCCCCCGAGTCGGGCAGCGGCTTCCTCCGCCTCCTCCTCCTCCTCCTCCTCCTCCTCCTCCTCCTCCTCCTCCTCTGCCTCCTCCTCCTCCTCCTCCTCCACCACCCTTCCGACCAGGGCGTCTAGCCAGGGCCGCCTGGGGGGCCCCCGCCTTGGGGGTCAGCGACGCGGCCCTTCCGGGGCGAAGGGTTCAAGCTGTGAAGGCGGCGTGCCCCCAGCATCCAGGCGCGTCGTTGGCTTTCAAGTTCCTCCTGTGCTCCTTCCACGCCAAGGGGGGCCCCCCCGGCCATTGTCGCTGCGGAGGCCCTCAGACTCCATCGGCGTCGTCTGGGACCGACAGGCGTCTTGGGAAGTGATCGAGATGGGCAGCGAGGACGGCCTCCAAGCGTTGAGTGCGAGGTCTCCTTGGATCAAGGCCAAGAGCCCAGTGGCAACCCCCATGCTCGCGCTGAGGCGCGCCGACTGGTATCTAGATGTACCCCAGAAGGTTGTGATCGATGGCCGTGGAAGGAGATGGCCAATTTTCCAGTGCCCGCCAGCTTTCTCCAATGCCCAGGCGCGAGCAGGTGTCAGCAGGGCCATGGCCAGGCAGGAGCAGATGAATCAAACGGATTTTGCAGCGTGGAAAGGCGACACTTTCTGAATTCCTCTCCGTCATTTGCTGTCGCTCCCGTCTTCGTCGTCATGGCATGCCCATCGCGAAGTCATTAAAGGCAGTCGTGAACAGTGCATGCTGGACCCAGACTCGGATGGCTCTACATGGAAACGGCATCGTCGCACCATCTAAGCTGTGCAGGGTCATGTGGGGGGCCCCTTCACGAGGGAGATTCGGCTGTCCAGGGTATTCGGCGTGGAGGACGCGACGATCTCGGGAGCACTCTGGCCAAGGCCGGTGAGACATTCATGCAGCAGACTGAGAGCGAGGGTGACCTGCTCGCCAGATGCGTCTTTCCCGACCCCAGCTCGTGGCTCGTCAGGCCCCCGGGGGCCCCGAGCTTCAACTGGCCCGCGGACTGCGTGCTGGTGACCAAAAGAGAACGGAAGGTATTCGCGGATGGGGCCTGCCGCGAGATGCACTGCCCAGGTCTTCGTGTCGCGGGCTGGGCAGTCGCTGTTGCGAATGAGAGAGGAGACCTCCTGCGTGGGCTGTACGGCGTGGTTCCCCTCGACGAGGCCCCCGAGCAGTCGTCCACGGACGGCGGGGACTTCGCGGTCCTGCAGCTTGGGCTCCACTCGGTCCTTGAACAAAGGGTGGAGGTCGGCATTGATTGTAAAGCGACGGTCTCAGTTGAGGCCAGACAGTCAGGGTCAGCCAATGAGGCCCAGGTGCGCGGCTATTGGTGGCCCGAATGGCCGACAGGTTCGGAGGAGCTCTTTCCATGAAGGTGGTGGCCTGCCAGAGCGAGGCGGCCATGAGGGGAGGTGGGAACACGCGTGCGGAGTGACGTGGCAATGGCTACGCGGACAGGTTCGCCAAGATGGGCGCCGAACCCTTCCGTGCGACGGAGCAGCGAAGGTTGGTGACGGAAGGATGCGCCTCCCTTGCCCTCGAGATGGGCCGCTTTGCCACCTCCCAGCCCCAGGAGGTGCACATCAGTAAAGTTGAGCCCCATGATCATGACGGGCTGGAATGGCTCACCACGGTTCTCTGGAAGTCATCCCTGGGCTCCCGATCCCTCGGGCTTGCCGGCCTCCTGCTGGCGAGAAGGGCGGCCCGCCCGAGGAAGAGGAAAGCCTGCAGGAGGCCTCCATCGAGGGCTCTCGAGAGCCTCGGGGGGCTTCGTGTTTTCGGGGGCGCAGGCTGCGGGGGGCCCAGGTCCGTGAAGGTATGGAACGGCGCCCTGTGGACTCCCTCTTCCTCTGCTCCCAGGGTGGGGCGTATGCCCGAGGCTCCCACAGGAGGCCCGCGAGGGCGTTGTCCACGGGCAGTGTCTAGGCAGGCCTTCGAGAGGGCGTTGCAATCATGTTGAGCTCTTCTGGCAGGGGCGTTTTCCCAGGTGCAGCACATCTTTGGTGCTCCGAGGAATGGCCCCCCCGCGCTCGGCGTCCGAGTCGAGTGGTCCTGTGCCCTCTCCCTCTCGGACGCCCCCTCTTCCCGCTCCCTGGAGCTTCCGCGGGGCCCCAGGAGCTCCGGGCCGCTGGATGCTGAGCGGGGGTTGAGATGTTTCGGTCTTTCCTGGGATTGAGGCAGCCTTGCTGGGGCAGGCCGCCCGTGACAGGAAAGCGGCGGCCGCCTCCGCCAGAGCGCGAGGGGCGCACGCCGCCGATTTCCCTGTTTCAGGGTCGCTCCCCCGTGGGGTTGCCCCCCTTACCGGCGTAAGTCTGCGCCTCCTCCTCTTCCTCCTCCTCCTCCTCCTCCTCCTCCTCCTCCCTCGTAGGGGGCCTGCGGGGCCCCCCTGCGAGTTCCAGAACTCCCAATCTGATATTGGACGTGTTGGAAACCGTTGGGGTCGTTTGTGCCGACGTTGGCGCGTAAACTGCTTGCGTAAGGCTACGCGGTCCGCAGCGTAAGGTCGCTACGTCATCTCGCGTAAGACCCGTGTCTTTTTGTTCGCGCAGATGGTCATCCAACATCACAGATCATCTGGGAATCCCCCTGCCTTGGCCCCCTGGCTAGGCTCCCCCTCAGGCCACTTGGCTAAGCCATAGCCAAGCCAATTTCTGATCCGGCTGGCCTGGCCCGGCACCCCATCGCATCAGCGTCTATCCGCTCAGCTGGCTCAAGCGCCTTTTAGACCTCCCCCACCAATGCAGGGGGAGATCTTAGGTGATCTGTGATGTCTCCCGATCTTCTCTTGGGGGATGGCGCAGCAAGGTTCCCGCGCGGCGCGGGCGGCGCGGGACGTCGGATTCTGTCACCTCGACGGGGAGATATTCATCAAGCGGCTGGCGGCCGGGGCCCTTACCCTTCTCGGGTGGGAGGGCGGGGATCGTAGAGGGATGGCAGAGGAGGACGAGGAGGGAGGGAGGGAGGGAGGGAGGGAGGGAGGGAGGAGGAGGAGGAGGAGGAGGAGGAGGAGGAGGAGGAGGAGGAGGGCCTCTCGGATTCGGTGGCCGTGATCAGGCCACCACGAGATCCTGTGCCCCTCGCTTTCCCGCACCGTCGTTCCCTCGTGCGAGATGGCTGTGGCTGCTGCTGCGCCCTGCCTGTGGCCTTACTTCCCCCGTCGCTCCTGGCTCGGGCGGCGCCCCGGGGCAGCGGCGGGCCCCGGCCGCGCGCCGGGTGCCCGCGCCGGTGGGCGCCTGCCGCGCTCCCTGCGCCCCCAGACGCGCAGGCGCGCGTTCTCCCGACCGTGCCGCCTCCTCCTCCTCCTCCTTCCTCCTCCTCTCCTCCTCCTCCCCTCCTCCTCCTCCTCTCCTCCCCTCCCCCTTCTCCTCCTCCTCCTCCTCCTCCTCCTCCTCCTCCTCCTCCTCCTCCTCCTCCTCCTCCTCCTCCTCCTCCTCCTCCCTCCTCCTCCTCCTCCTCCTCCCCCTCCTCCTCCCCTCCTCCTCCTCCCTCTCTCCTCCTCCCCTCCTCCTCCTCCTCCTCCTCCTCTCCTCCTCCTCCTCCTCCTTCCTCCCTCCTCCTCTCCTCCTCCTCCTCCTCCTCCCTCCCCCTCCCCCTCCCCCTACTCCAGAGCCTCTCCTCCTCCTCTCCTCCTCCTCACCTCTCTCCTCCTCCTCCTCCCCTCCTCCTCCTCCTCCTCTCCTCCTCCTCCTCCTCTCCCTCCCCCTTCCTCCTCCTTCTCCTCCTCCTCCCCTCATCTGCCTCCGCCTCCCTCCTCCTCCCTCCTCCTCCTCCTCCTCCTCCCCTCCTCCTCCCCTCCTCCTCTCCTCCTCCTCCTCCTCCTCCTCATCCTCCTCCTCCTCCTCCTCCTCCTCCTCCTCCTCCCCTCCTCCTCCTCCTCCTCTCCTCCTCCTTCTCCTCCTCCCCCTCCCCCCCCCCCCCTCCTCCCCTCCTCCTCCTCCTCCTCCTCCTCCTCCTCCTCCTCCTCTCCTCCTCCTCCTCACTCTCCTCCTCCTCCTCCTCCTCTCCCCTCCTCCTCCTCCTCCTCTCCTCCTCCCCCTCATCATCCCCCTCTCCTCCTCCTCCTCCTCCTCTCCTCTCCTCCTCCTCCTCCTCCTCCTCCTCCTCTACTCCTCCTCCTCCTCCTCCTACTCCCCTCCTCCTCCCCTCCTCCTCCCCTCCTCCTCCCCCTCCTCCTCCCCTCCCCTCCTACTCCTCCTCCTTCCTCCTCCTCCTCCTCCTCCTCCTCATCCTCTCCTCCTCCTCCTCCTCCTCCTCTCCTCCTCCTCCTCCCTCTCCTCCTCCCTCTCCACTCACTCCCCTCCTCCTCCTCCTCTTCGTCCTCGTCCTCTTCGTTCTCCTCCTCCTCCTCCTTCTCCTCCTCCTCCTCCTCCTCCTCCTCCGGCGCCGCCCGTGCGCCGCGCGGGGGGGCCGATGCTCACTTTTGCCGCCCCGCCCAGCACGTCGCCTCGGCGAGGGAACTTCCTCGGGCTTCTTCGGGTGAGGCACTCCCGTTGTGCACGTCGTTGGGCACATGGGAGCAGTGTCTTTGGTTGCGGCACCTCGTGCGGCACGGGGGCGTTGCTCCAGGCAGACGTTCGACAGCGAGGCTAGCGGTACCGCGAACGCATCGTGGCAGGAGGCTGGCAGACCCAGGAGGCTACAGCTCCGGGGCCGGCGTGTCATGAAAACCGTGTGCAGGAGAGACATCGATCAAGCGTGGCTGCGAAAGAACCTCGGCCGATGCAGCGGCAGATGCATCGGCGCGCGGTGGCGCAAGAAGGCGAAGGCATGCAGTCATAAGCGCGTGCCCAGCAGAGCGGGCGTGCAGCTTGGCTTCACATGGCGATTTTGGCTTTCCCACCCCTTCGAATGATTTCATACACAATTTCGTGCCGTCATTTTCCTTGGTCCGTAATTCGAGGGCCTGTGCGGACTCGCCCTAGGGTCCTCTGCGCTGTGCTGTTCGCGGCTAGGCAGCTGCCTCTCACTGGGGGCAACGACCCAGAGGCTCTAGGTAGCGGAGTCCGACCTTCAGAGGCGGTGATGCCTGCTAGGGCGATGTGGTAGATATTTGGCTGGTCCTTCCTTTCTTGTCTTATAGTATCTCTCGTCTTTCATCCGGCCAAGCACCAGCGCAGAGGGAGACCCTGGTAGCAGTGGGCGCATTCTGTATGCGATCTCGAACGATTGAGTATTTGAGGGCTCCTCCTCCTCCTCCTCCTCCTCCTCCTCCTCGTCCTGCTCGTCCTGCTCGTAGACGCGCTCGCTGCGGCCTCCGCAACTTTCTAGTAGAGCGTTCTGCCCACGCGTCCTTCATGGACGCGCGGCTTTCTTGTCTTGTCTCATCCTGCTAAGTAGCGACGTGTTCCGTTGTTCCCACGTGTGGGCGAGGTCTCCCCTCGGTTGCCCAGCTGCTTCTGGCCCTCCATGAGCCCACCGACGCACGCACCTGTAGCGCGATGGCCTGTATGGTCGCAGTAGCCCTCCCTCCCTGCCTGAGACATGCGCTTGTGTATGCTCATGTGGTCACCAGTGGTTCTCAATCGAAAGACAAGTCGCTACGCAAGCTCGGCCCTTCGCCCTGCCAGCACGTGTTCGGACGACGTCCAAAGCTACCTCCTGGCCTTCTGACTGCCCCTTCCCCCTTCCGCATATCCAAAGCGCCTCCTCCCCTTCTCCCCTCCCTGTCCCCTCCCGTCCCCCTCTCCATCCCCGTCCCCGTTCACCTCCCCTTTCCTTTTTCTTCTCTCCCCCCTCTCGCTCCCTCTCCCCCCCCCTTCGTTCTCCCCCCCCCCTCTCCGTTGCCTCCTTGCCTCTTCCCCCCTCCCCCTTGCCCCCTGCCCCCCCCCCGCCCACCCCCGCTCCTTCCTTTCTCTCTCCCCCCCCATTCGTTCCCCCCCTTTCCCCCCCCCTTTTTTTTGTTCCTCCCCCCCCCGTGCCCACCCCCCCTCGCCCCGCGGGTCCCGAGGCCTGCCCCAGGGTCGGCGTGCTGGCGCCGCCTGTGCTCTCGCAGCAGCAGCAGCAGCAGCAGCAGCAGCAGCAGCAGCAGCAGCAGCAGCAGCAGCAGCAGCAGCCCGCGCCGGCACAGTGGGGCGCCGCCCCGCCCAGCGTCGGAGGGGGCGCCAACTGCACGCGTGGGCGGAGAGCGTGCCCGCTGGTCGCCGGCAGCAGGTCTGTTTATACTCCCAGGTCCCCGTCTGCTTCAGGCGCCTTCCTACTTCGATCCGCGAGGGCTTTTCCTTCTCCCTCCCCTTCAGGGGGCGGGCGGGAGCCCAGTCTACTTCCCACGCCTTCCTACTTCATGCTTCTGCCCACCTCTTCCGACCGACGGGTACCCGCATCCGCGCCCTCGCGGACCGGGCCACCTGGGCTGCGACCCTGCGGCTGCGGAGCGCTTTCTTCGCGGATGCCCCGCGCGGAACGTGTCCGTGCGGCCGCGTATCCGCGGGACCGCGC